ACATCGAAAACGTGGAGCAGAAACGTCACGTCATACCGTGCGGGGAAAATTCAGCAAATGAAGATGTCAACCGGAAGTGATGGCTAATTTATATCAGCTGAGTTGTTTTGTTCAACAGGTGATCGATATTAGTGCACAGACCACAAGCAAACAATTAAGACGTAAAAACACGTGAGGATGATACTTAAAATTCATGAAGGAGCTAGTTTTATAGTTTTATAAGTATTTTAGTGTCTATCTGGGATTTTAAGAAGGTTATAATTTGCTAATGTGATGCTATTTTGAGTATTAGGGTAAGTCATAGGAAATCCATTCATATTTATTTATAATCTAAAAGGCAAGAATACAGCCGAATATTTGAAATGCCGATGTTTACGTGTATTGGCCTTATAACTGAAATGTCATCTTTATTCTTGGAGTTTTGACTTCGTCTGACGATAAACAAACGATTTAGAGACACACGTGAAAACACTAACTAGAAAGAGGTGGAGGGAATTGATTACATAAGAAGGTATTTCTGAGAGTTTGTGAAGTATTTGAGTGTCACTTAAGTTAGGTTTGTTATTTATTGTTATGGTTTATGATGAATGAGATCCGGGGGAATATATCGAGATACAGTTGAATACAGTGGAAACGCTAATGTACGTTTTAAGTTTATTTGCTTCAAGACACACGTAATACTTTATAGTAATTGTATTTATTGTGAAATCAACAGCTAGTTTTCCCTTTCTCTGATGTTTCCTAGCAATCACCAGCTCTCTACATTCCTCCGTGTTAACAATCCATGCTTCAGATCGGAGTCAAAGCACAGCCTTCGTTCAGTGGAGCAGAAACATTTAAAGAGTCAGGATCTGCTCTGTAAACACGTCAGACTCTCTCTGTTTGCTTTGGACTTTACTGCATCGATCAATGTTTAGTACGACAGCTATTTGAGCTCCTTCAGTGCGAAGCTTCAAAACACAGTGGAGGCTGATTTCATTCAACTGTGTGAGAAACATCGACTTCACAGGAACGCAGAAACTAAATCCAGATTGTGTTTTAAATTACCGCACAAACTTCTTCCAGCAGCAGAAAACACAAAGCCCCTCCATCATGACTTTATACGCCTTCAAAGGAGGTGCAGTAGTGGAGTACTAATACTTTGTTACTGTACTTAAGTACATTTTTCTGGTATCAGTACTTTACTCCACGACTTGTTTTTCTGACGACTTTTTACTTCTACTTCTCACATGTTGAACTCAAATACCTGTACTTTCTACTTCTCACATGTTGAACACAAATACCTGTACTTTCTACTTCTTACATGTTGAACTCAAATACCTGTACTTTCTACTTCTTACATGTTGAACACAAATACCTGTACTTTCTACTTCTTACATGTTGAACACAAATACCTGTACTTTCTACTTCTCACATGTTGAACTCAAATACCTGTACTTTCTACTTCTTACATGTTGAACTCAAATATCTGTACTTTCTACTTCTTACATGTTGAACTCAAATACCTGTACTTTCTACTTCTTACATGTTGAACACAAATACCTGTACTTTCTACTTCTTACATGTTGAACTCAAATACCTGTACTTTCTACTTCTTACATGTTGAACCCAAATACCTGTACTTTCTACTTCTTACATGTTGAACTCAAATACCTGTACTTTCTACTTCTTACATGTTGAACTCAATACCTGTACTTTCTACTTCTTACATGTTGAACCAAAATACCTGTACTTTCTACTTCTCACATGTTGAACACAAATACCTGTACGTTCTACTTCTCACATGTTGAACACAAATACCTGTACTTTCTACTTCTTACATGTTGAACTCAAATACCTGTACTTTCTACTTCTTACATGTTGAACTCAAATACCTGTACTTTCTACTTCTTACATGTTGAACTCAAATACCTGTACTTTCTACTTCTTACATGTTGAACTCAAATACCTGTACTTTCTACTTCTTACATGAACTAATACTGTACTACTTCTTACATGTGAACACAAATACCTGTACTTTCTACTTCTTACATGTTGAACCCAAATACCTGTACTTTCTACTTCTTACATGTTGAACTCAAATACTTGTACTTTCTACTTCTTACATGTTGAACACAAATACCTGCACTTTCTACTTCTTACATGTTGAACTCAAATACTTGTACTTTCTACTTCTTACATGTTGAACTCAAATACCTGTACTTTCTACTTCTTACATGTTGAACTCAAATACCTTTACTTTCTACTTCTTACATGTTGAACTCAAATACCTGTACTTTCTACTTCTTACATGTTGAACTCAAATACCTGTACTTTCTACTTCTTACATGTTGAACACAAATACCTGTACTTTCTACTTCTTACATGTTGAACTCAAATACCTGTACTTTCTACTTCTTACATGTTGAACCCAAATACCTGTACTTTCTACTTCTTACATGTTGAACTCAAATACTTGTACTTTCTACTTCTTACATGTTGAACACAAATACCTGCACTTTCTACTTCTTACATGTTGAACACAAATACCTGTACTTTCTACTTCTTACATGTTGAACACAAATACCTGTACTTTCTACTTCTTACATGTTGAACTCAAATACCTGTACTTTCTACTTCTTACATGTTGAACTCAAATACCTGTACTTTCTACTTCTTACATGTTGAACTCAAATACCTGTACTTTCTACTTCTACATGTTGAACTCAAATACTTGTACTTTCTACTTCTTACATGTTGAACACAAATACCTGCACTTTCTACTTCTTACATGTTGACCCAAATACCTGTACTTTCTACTTCTTACATGTTGAACACAAATACCTGTACTTTCTACTTCTTACATGTTGAACTCAAATACCTGTACTTTCTACTTCTTACATGTTGAACACAAATACCTGTACTTTCTACTTCTTACATGTTGAACACAAATACCTGTACTTTCTACTTCTTACATGTTGAACACAAATACCTGTACTTTCTACTTCTTACATGTTGAACTCAAATACCTGTACTTTCTACTTCTTACATGTTGAACTCAAATACCTGTACTTTCTACTTCTTACATGTTGAACTCAAATACCTGTACTTTCTACTTCTCACATGTTGAACTCAAATACTTGTACTTTCTACTTCTCTCATTTTCCAAACAGCTGGTTCCTTTAGTCTGAATGTGTGTTTGATGCGTGATCATTATTATTTAGAGTCATTGCGTGCCTATTGATTTGAACACGATCCGTGTATCCATCATTTCCTGGTCTTCTCTAAAGAAGAGGGACCAATGGAAACGTTGTCATGTTGCCGTTGTTCAGCATGGAAACATTCATTAGCTAACAATGACATTATTGTTCTATTAATATAAAGGGAGGTCAGGTACTCTTTAAAGCAGCTGCTAGTTATGGGTACTTTTTACTGAAGGACACTTCAAAGTTCTTTACTTTGACTTGAGGAAAGAAGTTTAGTTCTACTTTCACCAGAGTATTTTAAAACACGAGTATCTGTACTTCCACTTGAGTAAAGGATGTGTGTACTTCTTCCATCTCTGTCCATAATGACACTCACTATACTGAGTTATTTCCCCCTAAAATGGACAAAAGCAGCATACCTCTTTCCACCATAGATTTATTTGTGCTGTACGTCTGTAAACTAAGACGAGGGTCAGTTTCTGACCTCTGATGGTGGTCCGGATCTCCGTCTGTCTGCTTTGTTCCTGGGTGGTCTTACTCTGGTGCATAAAGCTTAAAGAGATATTAAGAAGACTCAAAAGATGGTATTAATGTTATGAAACCTGATCTTTAGCATGGCATATGTCACTGATAAAGATTAAATGAGCAGCATGTGAATTAATCTCCGTCCTCGGACTTATAATTGAGAAGTCATGTGGAATGTGATATATGAACGTACGCCAGCATCAGTAATGGCTCCAGCATTTCATCTCTATCAGTTGTGACATGCTGAGACAGGGGAGACACACAGTGTCTCTCCGTGACATCTGTGGCGGTAATTTAAGTTTTCATCTTCAACCGGTTCCAGGACTCCTCGTGCCTTCACATGAAATCAAAGACCGGAGGAAAATATTCACGGTATAAACGGAGCGATGTGTGGAACACGAACAGATGGCAATCACAACCCAAGACAAGAAGGGAAAAGGATATGTGAACGTTTTAATATGCAATGAAATACGTTTTCCTCTTCTGACGGGAAATAGTGTTTATAGAGATTATATCAAGGCACACATCCTTTTCCAATGAGCACTCAAGGGGATGAAGTGGGCCTACAGATGCACCAAATGTACTTTAATATCCAAATGTGTTCCTCCCCAACATGATTAGTCCAAATAATAACAAAATGGTTAGTATTAGCAAAAATAAACCCATTGAAAGACACTTTTACTCATTAAGGTCCTATTTTAAGATGAATTTAATACATTTTGAAGACTTTTTATGCATAAATCCTCTTCGTCATGTTCACAAAATGAAATGTGAACGTTTTAATATGCAATGAAATACGTTTTCCTTTTCTGACGGGAAATAGTGTTTATAGAGATGTTGAGATTATATCAAGGCACACATCCTTTTCCAATGAGCACTCAATGGGCTGAAAGCATGGGATAAAGTGGGCCTAAAGTGAGCTGCAAAATGTACTTTAATATCCTAATGGGTTCCTCCCTAGCAGGTGAACAACATTATTGATCCACTCAATAACACATTGGTTAGTAGAAGCATACAAAACCCCATTAAACCAATGAAGGCCTTATTTTAAGATGAATTTAATACATTTTGAAGACTTTTTATGCCTTAATTTCGTCGTTAACACTCAATCCTATTTTGATTGATCTTTCTCTCATGACACTTTGATAAACTCACTTACTTTGAGCCTCTGGTCCCATTTAGGTAGTTATATTTCATACTTTATGTCTTCTCGTCTTATTTGTATTGACCTGTCCATCACAAAGTCAAACTACAGTAAAAGAAAGTACAGAAATAATCACGCAACCTGGAGACATGTGCACCAAATCATTTTAATATAACAGCATTCAGTCTGTTGTGAGTAACAGTGCAGTCGCATGCTAAAGAGCAAACAAAAATAAATGTAATATCTGTACTCTGGAGTTATATTTGGACAGTTGTTTTCGTACAATGTTTATGAAATATCTGTGAAAAAAGTATACAATCTTTTTTCAGTATGAAGTATAAAAATAATTGTCTCTGTACACATTTTGAAAAGGTCCAGCGGTTTGCATAATAGTTTGGATCAGAGCCTCTGGAGTTCGTCACTATAGACCTGTGGAGAGAGAGGGAATATAAAGTATGAGACGTTTCATGCGGAGGGAAAACACTCGGGAACAGACGTGAGACAAACACCATCTACTCTTTACTCTCTTTCAACCCCAATGTTTTATGTCAGAAATGTAAAGTAAAGGTTGTGAACAAAAATACTGTCTCAATATTGACATTGTTTTCTCTTCAAATCAAATCAAGTTTTATTTATATAGCACATTTATAAACGATTTTTGGTCGAGCCAAAGTGCTGTACATGTAATAAAAATAGCCTACAGTAATTTCAGTAATCTCTTGACTCTATGTCCAACGTATTAAGCAAGGAAATCACTTCAAAATCAACTCAAAATGTGTCGAAATTGGCCCAATGAGAGTCGAAACGGGCCCTTTTGTCCACTTCTGAAATGGGTTCAGCATCCTCAATAACCCAACCCCTGGAATATACCGTAGGTGGTCGAGCAGCTGGTGAAATATTGTCCATATAGGCTAATAAACGCATACATGCAAGTTAGCATCCAGCTGTTTGAAATGCTGAGGACCCATATTTTAGCTGGCGCCCCCCCCCCCCCAAATGCAGACACGTACACTCACTATGGCTCACGCGTGCACGGTGTGGCGTGACCACCAAAACAGAAAGATATGGACACAAGATATGTGCAACTGTATTTAGTTTCCTATCCATGTGAACATGATTTAAATGGGGGGGGGGGGGGGGGGGTCCTCATCCCGGAAGTTTTTTTTAAATGTTGAAGTTAAAACCATCAATCTGGTGCACTTTGAGAGCAACATGAAGAGATCTATGGATACCTCTCTCAGCATCCAGATGAAACAGAACTGTAATCAGATTTTATTTTTCTTTATGGATATTTTACAAATCACTCTCCTTTCAAACTGGATTCTTGTTTTAATGTCATATAGTATTTTATGCCTGTTTTTCATTTATTGTCTTGTTTTCTGTAAAACTATAATGATCATATAAAGGTGTGCCTTTACCTCACTGAGCTGAGGTAATCAGAGCCTCTCCGTCTTTCAGGAGAGAGCTCTCTAAAGCCCCCCCCCCCCCCCCGCGGCCGCTTACACAGTAAATTCCAATGTTAATAAAAGCTGTGTACGTTTTTTGGGAGTTTGATTTATTTTAAATGAACACAAATACAAAATTAAAACCTATAATTGCCACTAAAACCATTATTTAAAAAAAGAACTATTTCACATAAACCTCTGTTTTTTACTGGGGCGGTTCAACTTGATTTGGGGGGGGGGGGTGCGCCATAGTTTATGGGCGCTGTACGCAATATAGGCGTAGTTCTGTTAGTGTAAGATAATAACATGTACTTTGTTGATCCAAAATCGGGAAATTGTTTTGTTATGAAATAAAAAAATATATATTTTGTTAACTTCTTCCACCTCTTCTCCACATGCCTGCTAACAGACTCTGATCTGGGTGCAGACTCTGATCTGGGTGCAGACTCTGATCTGGGTGCAGACTCTGGGTGCAGACTCTGGGTGCAGACTCTGATCTGGGTGCAGACTCTGATCTGGGTGCAGACTCTGGGTGCAGACTCTGATCTGGGTGCAGACTCTGATCTGGGTGCAGACTCTGGGTGCAGACTGGGTGCAGACTCTGGGTGCAGACTGGGTGCAGACTCTGGGTGCAGACTCAGTAATCCTCAGTGAGTTTTGGTTGAATCTGTGATGTTTTCTTTGAGCTCTGAGTGTGTTTGTGCCTCAGAAGAGCCTCCAGACGGGCTCTCTGACGCTGCTCCGCCACAAGAGAACAACCGCAGACAGACCTCACTTCTCACCAGACAGACTTTCTCCCAACGCCACATGTTGGGCGGAAACTCACAGTGACTTCATGGAGCCCCGTGGTGTCATTGAACGCACCATAAATGAAGGTGGAGGCAGCCGGTTATTACAGTTAGCGTGTCGTGGCTCTACAGATGAGCTCACTGGGACTACCAAGCGTGACTTGGTCCGCTATAAACGTATCAACTATAAGCAATAATCCTGATCTAATAACTGAGTTTTGTTCTTGAATCAACTTTTTTAATGAAAAATCTTTATTGTCATTTCCCTTTTCCAGGAATCTCAATAGAAAACAATTAGATATTAATTATGAATGCCATAATGCTTATTTCTAATGAGATAGCTGTCAATCAGAAGTTAAATTAATGGCTAACTTATTCTAAGAATGTACTTAACCCACTGAAAGGATTTCTATTCAAATAATCCGGAAATGACGTAAAAACAATAACTCATCTCTCTCGTTCAGATGAATCAGGCTTTGTTTCAGGTAGACGTGCAAACCAGAATCAGTCACTCTCAGACTCTGGAGAATTGATGATTTGCTCACCTGAAAACAATGATCTCTTTTTGGCATCTCGAGCACCACCTGTGGAGAAACACAGACAGGAAGTGGGTCAATCATCTTAAAGGGTTCCTTAAGTCTTTTCTCAACCTATTTAAGTGTCTAAATGACTAACGGGGACAATTAGAAGTATTTGCTTAATTAGCTGCAGACCCTAAACGTGTTGCTATGTACTGTAGCATGTGTGTTTTTGTATTATTTAGAGCCTATATGTTGCATGTTTTAATGATTTAATTATCCTGATATGTTTATAATTAGTTTTAGGATGATTTTAAAACATGTCGAGGGACTACAGATTAAAAAAGCCTCTATGCTAACGTTGGCAGCTACGTTTATTAATGGGTTCTTCCCCTGTTAAATAAAGAAATACAACTATCTTTAAAAAAACTATTAAAAAAGTTATCAACAATTAAAGGAATGGAAAGATAGACACACACACACACACACACAGTCCCTCTCTCACGCCACAAAGTGCTTTGTCACGACTCAGGACTTTAGTGTATATTTATTTAACAGCTGGAGGAGTTGTTTGTCGGAGGGAAATATTTCCATGTGAGAAACAATCACGGTTTGAATCTAATTGTTTCCTGACGTCACTGAGAGCTGTATCCCCACATGCTCTTCATTTGAAAAGCTGACGGAGATGTTTAGGTGAGTTCATTTGGGAACATTTCTGAATTTACAACATATACTATTTTGGGAATCGTTCATCATTTACTTCACAGATGCCCTTTTTGCTCCAGCAGGGGATTCATATGAAGTGAAGTCGGTACAGAGCATGATATTTCAGAGTCACATTTCCTCCTTGACAAACACTGTAAATATCATAACTGGTCTTCAGTAGAAGAAAGTGTCACCTTCCATTGTCCAAAGAGCATTACATATATCGACCTTTGTTTAGAGTATTCATGATCCCAGAGGATGCATCTTAAGCATTGTTGACTGTCTTTGCACTTTCACCATATCTAGGCAGTTTGCAGACCATAAACCTGATCATCATAATAATCCATATTCTAGTGAATCCAGACTTGAGCAAGTTGTAATAATAATAATAATAATGCATTAACATTTTTTATTAGAGCGCTTTTACAGGTGCTCAAAGCGCTCTACACATTACACATATTAGACATGTAAGAGTCATTACTGCAGGACTTTACCCACAGGAGCAAATGCGGGTAAAGTGTCTTGCGGCCGAGACGGGATTCGAACTGGAGTTCACCAACGTAATGCAGATATATGTAATGTAAGTACAGCTACTGTACACTATAATATAACATGTCTATTTTACATTTTTCTTAGTTGATTTCAGTGATTTTGAAATACAAGCCTCTGAAAATCGCACCATTCTGCCACATACAGTATGTTGATGAGATGTATGCAGCATTGAAGGAGGTGTCCCAGCCAGAAAACAGATGATTCGTGTCTTTTTACTAGATCGAGATATGTCTCTTAAAGGAAGCCAGGATAATATTTCTTACGTGACAATTTCCCCCCAGAGGGTTGAACCCCCTCTGTGAAATATGGAGAAGGCGACATGACAGCTCCATATTACATGTTTACAAGGAAGAAGTGCACATTAATCTGCACTTTTTAATAGTTCTGTAACCACTTGAATGCTTGCAGTAACGAAATAAGCCTTTAAAAGAAAGTGTGGGGAGGTTAGAAACATTAGAGGACGTTTATCACATTTGTGAGGATTTTGGAAACGTCCAGCAACGAACGGGGAGAGGATCAACATTTAAATGCAGAGTTTAAATATAAAGGCGTCTCACTGTTGTCCTGCTCAGGAGGATCCAGGACGTCGCTCTCCGTGTCGCTGGGAATATTCCACGGCTGCCGGTAAAACTCATCCTGAGGAGCAGAAACACAGCAGACACACATGGTCAGAGAAATGAGGAAGTAAGTCCCTCTACATGGAATGAACACTTCTTATTCAAGGTGTTATTCAAGTATTCAAGGTTATTCAAGTCCACTCTGTGTCTTGTTGAAATGACAATAAAGTATGTCTAAGTCTAAGGTGTTGTCGTCAATATAAGGAAACAGAGGATTTACACATTCTTTAGGTACAATTTAGTGACTTTTAAGACCTAAATATCAGAAAGCAATAACTCATAACATTACTGCGGGTTTTCTGAAAAACAAATCAGTAAAATTGACGTTTTATTGAATTTCAATGAGTGAAATATTCGGTGCAATCAGTCGCTCTCCATATACTGAACATGACTTATTCAAGGTGTTGTTGTCAATGTAAAGAAACACAGGATCATTTATGTAATAGTAAGTTACTTTTAAGACCTAAATATAAAAAACAAGCACGAAAAAATATCATAAATGGGTCCGCTGCCATGTGTGTGTGTTTGTGTGTGTGTGTGTGTGTGTGTGTGTGTGTGTGTGTGTGTGTGTGTGTGTGTGTGTGTGTGTGTGTGTGTGTGTGTGTGTGTGTGTGTGTGTGTGTGTGTGTGTTTGTCTTCTCACCTCTGACAGGTACGCCCTCAGGCTGGCCCCCAGGCTGTCGGTGGTGCTGAGTCCCGGGGGGGTCAGCAGGGGTCGGGGTCTGGCCGGCTGGCAGGTGGGGGTCACAGGGCGGCTCCTTGACCTCCTGAAGGTCACCTCTTTATGGGCTCCTCGGTCAAAACTGGAGCGCCTCAGCAGGCTGTTGGGAGTTATGGGAGTCCTGGGGGTTCTGGGAGTTGTACTCCTGCTGCTAAGGTTGCTAGGAGATGGAGTCCGGCCCATGGTGAGGGGCAGGGTGTCGGGGAGGTGGCGGTGGGGGGGGGTGTATCGGGGGGAGGAAGGGGGTGTGGTGCAGAGAGAGAGGATTGTTGGAGATACGACTCGTCATTTTACCCACTTCTGCCAGTTTAGCCAGGTCCTTCTCCACCTCTGAGGGGGAGAGAGGAGATCAGTTAGTACAACATTTAAAACTCAAGATGATTGTGGTGCTTAGTAGGTTTTCATAGCAGTAGCCATATTGTTGATTCCTGGGGCTTTTATTTTGAAAAACACGCCTCACTTGGAGCTCCCTGCTAGTATCCCTGAGCGTCCTGTAAAGATACAGTTACTTTCTGAGGCTTTTATTTTGAAAAACTAAGCCTAATGGATGTTAAAGCTATCTATGTCTGTAATTAACAACAATGTATTTTCAATATATAAATAGTGTTTGGTCACACATGTTAAAACTGTTTTAATATGTTCACTGAGGCTCCAGAATAAAGTTGTTTGTTTTATGACCCCGCTTTTTGTAACAAAAGTTTGTTTCTGGGGCTTTTATTTTGAAAAACAAACCTATATTTAAGCTTCTTGTTCCTTGGGCTTTTATTTTGAAAAACAAAAACCTTTATTTGAGCTTATTGTAACAACAATTTGTTACAAGGTCTTTTGTTTTGAAAAACAAACAAAAAATCGAGCTTTTTGTAACTAAAATGTGTTTCTTGGGCTTTTATTTTGAAAAACAAGCCCCACTTGGAGCTCCCTGTTAGTATCCCTGAGCTTCCTGTAGAGATAGTTACTTTCTGAGGCTTTTATTTTGAAAAACTAAGCCTTAATTGATGTTATGTCTGTATTTAACAACAACTCTGAATGTGCAAGTTTGCATATTCAATATATATAGTTTTTGGGCACGTTCTAACTGTTTCAATATGCTTAGAGAGGCTCCAGAATAAAGTTGAATGGTTTATGACCTCTTGTCCTGCAGCTGATGATTCACAAACTTTTTTACGGAGCATTAAAGTGGGCGAGACTCCACTCTTTAATCCTTCTTCTGGGCACTGATGACAATATTTATAGTCGCTGTAAACTGCGGTGGAAGCAGCTTCCTCTCAGAAAACGCTCCAAGTTCGTCCGCAGAGCGAAGAGAAACACGAGAGACGTCCAGCTCCCGCCGTCAACATCTAACTCTTTCTTTCCGTGATGATTTTAGTTAAATCCTCGCACTGAGGATTCAGCAAAGCATGCTTTAAAGTTATCATTTGAGAGTGGAGTGAGTCACCAGGAGTGTGTGTGTGTGTGTGTGTGTGTGTGTGTGTGTGTGTGTGTGTGTGTGTGTGTGTGTGTGTGTGTGTGTGTGTGTGTGTGTGTGTGTGTGTGTGTGTGTGTGTGTGTGTGTGTTGAGTTTAAATAAATAACAGAAAGAAGCATGACAAGGATTTCACAACCCGACTTTCTTGTTGAGCAAATTGTGTTTTTCTCTTCTGCAAACAACATGTACTCTCGAATGTGAAGCAGACATCTCGTTATCATGCAAAGTGTCTGCGAGACGTTACTGAGGGGAAATCAACCGCAGACTGTTTGGGATACACACATTTAATTCTGACATGTGTTACTAGGTTGTTGTGTTTCCTACGGAGGGCGGCTTTCATACGATGCAGAGCACGTTCTGTTTAGTGTTCGATAATGTGTGTGTGTGTGTGTGTGTGTGTGTGACGCTGTGTGTGTGTGTGACGCTGTGTGTGTGTGTGTTTGTGTGACGCTGTGTGTGTGACGTTGTGTGTGTGTGTGATGCTGTGTGTGAGACGCTGTGTGTGTGTGTGATGCTGTGTGTGTGACGCTGTGTGTGTATGACACTGTGTGTGTGTGTGTGTGACACTGTGTGTGTGACGCTGTGTGTTTGTGAGACGCTGTGTGTGTGTGTGTGATGCTGTGTGTGTGACGCTGTGTGTGTATGACACTGTGTGTGTGTGTGTGTGTGACGCTGTGTGTTTGTGTGACGCTGTGTGTGTGACGTGTGTGTGTGTGATGCTGTGTGTGTGTGTGACGCTGTGTGTGTGACGCTGTGTGTGTGTGTGACGCTGTGTGTGTGTGACGCTGTGTGTGTGACGCTGTGTGTGTGTGTGACGCTGTGTGTGTGTGACGCTGTGTGTGTATGACACTGTGTGTGTGTGACGCTGTGTGTGTGTGACGCTGTGTGTGTGGCGCTGTGTGTGTGTGACGCTGTGTGTGTGTAACGCTGTGTGTGAGTGACGCTGTGTGTGTGTGACGCTGTGTGTGTATGACACTGTGTGTGTGACGCTGTGTGTTTGTGTGACGCTGCGTGTGTATGATACTGTGTGAGTGTGTGTGAGATGATGTGTGTGTGTGTGTGTGTGTGTGTGTGCGTGTGTGTGTGTGTGAGTGAAGCTGTGTGTGTATGACACTGTGTGTGTGTGTGAGTGTGTGTGTGTGTGTGTGTATGTGTGTGTGTGTGTGTGTGTGACGTTGTGTATGACGCTGTGTGTGAGTGTGTGTGTGTGTGTGTGTGTGTGTGTGTGTGTGTGTGTGTGTGTGTGTGTGTGTGTGTGTGTGTGTGTGTGTGTGTGTGAAAAGCTGTGCATGAGTGTGTGAGTGTGTGACACTGTGTGTGTGTGTGTGTGTGTGTGTGTGTGTGTGTGTGTGTGTGTGTGTGTGTGTGTGTGTGTGAGAGAGTGAGATGCTGTGTGTGTGTGTGTGTGTGTGTGTGTGTGTGGTCTAGCATTACTATACTTGTGGGGACCTACATCTGTTTACACAGTCACGTGTGGGGACTCGCCTCCCTTATGGGGACACATTGGAGGTCCCCATAAGGGGTATCATTAATTTTAGGGTGAAGACTTGGTAAGGGTTAGGCATGTGTTGGTTAAGGTTAGGATAAGTCTCCAGGAAATGCATGTAAGTCAATGTAATGTCCCCTGAAGTGATGTATACATGGTATGTGTGTGTGAGTGAAGCTGTGTGAGTGTGTGAGAGAGAGAGAGAGTGTGTGTGTATGTGTGTGTCAGTGTGTGTATTAAACCCTGCTGCACTCTGCACGTTACGTCTCTGAGTTGTAGTAGAAAGCTAAAGGTCACCATTTGACCTCCATTGGATTGAACGTTGTTGGAAGATACGTAAAGAAACGTTGTGGTGCGTTCAAGGCGTGTCGGGACATTACAGTTTGTAATAATCCAAAGAGTTATGGTGGTTAAACTTAACGTTGGGGATAGTTCAATGTTTGCAGACACATTGCAGTGAGAGAGAACCTGCAGGAAATCCATAAACAACAACAAGTCCAGAGACTCCTGTGACCTTTGTCACAATAAACACACATTGGGCTGCAGGAAAATGTAATGATAAGGGTGTGTTTTCAGCGTCAAAGCTTCTAGGATGAAGGGATACATGTATTTATATATATTAATATATACACAAGAGAAAACTCAGTGTAAAAAATAAGCTCAACTTGATCAAATCAATTGATAGTGATCCTTTGAAGTCTTAAAGGTCCCATGTGAAGGTATACAAGGCATGAAAAAGTGGACTTTGCATAACAAGAACTTTGTCCACAAAATGACATTAATGGGGTATGTTATTCAGTTTTGCAAAGTGTAAAGTACGGAGCCCCCTAGGGGACATGGAGAAGGAAACAAAAATTATCATTTAGCTCAATGTACTTCCTGGTCAGTTCGGCTGCTACGGCAACACAGAAACCACAACAATGGAGCGGTTCATCGATTTAACTTTGAGCTTGGCCTAAAATATAAAGATATAACATCAGTGCTTGGCAATAGGCACGGGTTTCACACAAGTGAAGACACCTCAAGAGAACACTCGGAGCGAGTGGACATGCACGTCCCTCTGAGCTGAGTTATTGACAGATTCGAATTTCGCGGATCAATAACTCACGAACATAACGTTGTAAAAATACAAACAACATGACTTTACAATCACAGCAAGATAGACAACGAGCTACAGAGTCCTTTTTATCAGAACAGTTCGATACGCTCCGTCATCCGAGCTAAACATCAAGAATTGGTCACAATCTGCAGCTGGAGGAGGGAGGAGTGCTTAGGAACCGTCTACAAACTGCAACAGGGTTTTGCGAGATCTTCTCCATGTCCCCTAGGGGGCTCCGTAGTACAGTGATGTAAATGGGGGCTCTGTAGTAAAGTGATGTAAATGGGGGCTCCGTAGTAAAGTGATGTAAATGGGGGCTCCGTAATAAAGTGATGTAAATGGGGGCTCCGTAGTAAAGTGATGTAAATGGGGGCTCCGTAGTAAAGTGATATAAATGGGGGCTCCGTAGTAAAGTGATGTAAATGGGGGCTCCGTAGTAAAGTGATGGAAATGGAGGCTCCGTAGTAAAGAGATGTAAATGGGGGCTCCGTAGTAAAGTGATGTAAATGGGGGCTCTGTAGTAAAGTGATGTAAATGGGGGCTCCGTAGTAAAGAGATGGAAAATGGAGGCTCCGTAGTACAGTGATGTAAATGGGGGCTCCGTAGTAAAGTGATGTAAATGGGGGCTCCGTAATAAAGTGATGTAAATGGGGGCTCTGTAGTAAAGTGATGTAAATGGGGGCTCCGTAGTAAAGTGATGTAAATGGGGGCTCCGTAGTAAAGTGATGTAAATGGGGGCTCCGTAGTAAAGTGATGTAAATGGGGGCTCCGTAGTAAAGTGATGTAAATGGAGGCTCCGTAGTAAAGTGATGTAAATGGAGGCTCCTTAGTAAAGTGATGTAAATGGGGGCTCCGTAATAAAGTGATGTAAATGGGGGCTCTGTAGTAAAGTGATGTAAATGGGGGCTCCGTAGTAAAGTGATGTAAATGGGGGCTCCGTAGTAAAGTGATGTAAATGGGGGCTCCGTAGTAAAGTGATGTAAATGGGGGGCTCCGTAATAAAGTGATGTAAATGGGGGCTCCGTAGTAAAGTGATGTAAATGGGGGCTCTGTAGTAAAGTGATGTAAATGGGGGCTCTGTAGTAAAGTGATGTAAATGGGGGCTCCGTAGTAAAGTGATGTAAATGGGGGCTCCGTAGTAAAGTGACGTAAATGGGGGCTCCGTAGTAAAGTGATGTAAATGGGGGCTCCGTAGTAAAGTGATGTAAATGGGGGCTCTGTAGTAAAGTGATGTATATGGGGGCTCCGTAGTACAGTGATGTAAATGGGGGCTCCGTAGTAAAGTGATGTAAATGGGGGCTCCGTAGTAAAGTGATGTAAATGGGGGCTCCGTAGTACAGTGATGTAAATGGGGGCTCCGTAGTAAAGTGATGTAAATGGAGGCTCCTTAGTAAAGTGATGTAAATGGGGGCTCCGTAGTAAAGTGATGTAAATGGGGGCTCCGTAGTAAAGTGATGTAAATGGGGGCTCCGTAGTAAAGTGATGTAAATGGGGGCTCCGTAGTAAAGTGATGTAAATGGAGGCTCCGTAGTAAAGTGATGTAAATGGAGGCTCCTTAGTAAAGTGATGTAAATGGGGGCTCCGTAATAAAGTGATGTAAATGGGGGCTCTGTAGTAAAGTGATGTAAATGGGGGCTCCGTAGTAAAGTGATGTAAATGGGGGCTCTGTAGTAAAGTGATGTAAATGGGGGGCTCCGTAGTAAAGTGATGTAAATGGGGGCTCCGTAATAAAGTGATGTAAATGGGGGCTCTGTAGTAAAGTGATGTAAATGGGGGCTCTGTAGTAAAGTGATGTAAATGGGGGCTCCGTAGTAAAGTGATGTAAATGGGGGCTCCGTAGTGAAGTGACGTAAATGGGGGCTCCGTAGTAAAGTGATGTAAATGGGGGCTCCGTAGTAAAGTGATGTAAATGGGGGCTCTGTAGTAAAGTGATGTAAATGGGGGCTCCGTAGTACAGTGATGTAAATGGGGGCTCCGTAGTAAGTGATGTAAATGGGGGCTCCGTAGTAAAGTGATGTAAATGGGGGCTCCGTAGTAAAGTGATGTAAATGGAGGCTCCTTAGTAAAGTGATGTAAATGGGGGCTCCGTAGTAAAGTGATGTAAATGGGGGCTCCGTAGTAAAGTGATGTAAATGGGGGCTCCGTAGTAAAGTGATGTAAATGGGGGCTCCGTGGTAAAGTGATGTAAATGAGGGCTCCGTAGTAAAGTGATGTAAATGGGGGCTCCGTAGTAAAGTGATGTAAATGGGGGCTCCGTGGTAAAGTGATGTAAATGGGGGCTCCGTAGTAAAGTGATGTAAATGGGGGCTCCGTAGTAAAGTGATGTAAATGGGGGCTCCGTAGTAAAGTGATGTAAATGGGGGCTCCGTAGTAAAGTGATGTAAATGGGGGCTCCGTAGTAAAGTGATGTAAATGGGGGCTCCGTAGTAAAGTGATGTAAATGGGGGCTCCGTAGTAAAGTGATTGTAAATGGGGGCTCCGTAGTAAAGTGATGTAAATGGGGGCTCCGTAGTAAAGTGATGTAAATGGGGGCTCCGTAGTAAAGTGATGTAAATGGGGGCTCCGTAGTAAAGTGATGTAAATGGGGGCTCCGTAGTAAAGTGATGTAAATGGGGGCTCCGTAGTAAAGTGATGTAAATGGGGGCTCCGTAGTAAAGTGATTGTAAATGGGGCTCCGTAGTA